TAAAAATAAATTTTTTAAAAAAATTAATAAAATGAAATGACAAAAAAATTGTTAAGATGGTAAATTTTATGTTATGTACTTTGAACACACACTCACGCACATGCACATATTCACGCACATGCACACACACACGCACATGCACACAGACACAGGCAAGTTAGAAAACTATATTTTTTGTAGCATAACTTTGTGCTAAAACAGCCTCTTAGAGGATATATGGACCACCAGATAAATGTTAAAATATAAAAAAAGTTTTATACTCAGAAAACTTTGTTACCTGCAACAAATCCAACTACTAGATCTTTTCCAGTAGTAGAATGTTGACCTTTGACCCAGATGGCTTTTAGGCTATTAAAAGTGTAGAAATAGACAAAATTGGAGCAGCAGAGACTGGAGATAACTGGAAACCACCCTCGATATGGGGCCAGGCTAGGGAAAAACACAATAAGCAAAGTAAAAATGTTGAACAAAAGCCACTAGAAACGGGCAAAGTCGCAGGACAGGCCGATCATTTACATATTCTCGAAGTTCACTCTTCCACTACAATGTAGTCCAAACTGCACAGACATCTTACGTTCTATTCTGAAGGATGCCCAAACCATGAAATCTTTTCTAACACTAATGACACTAGTGAAACAACACACATTCAATGGCTGATTTACTGCTTTTCCCCTTCAATTTCCTTTAGTAAATTACTATGTAAAACTAGAGACAATTTCCTCATGGCTGTTAATTAATACAGCACCATTCACATTTTACTACAAGGCAAGAACATTTAAAACGAAGTAAATATACAAAATGAGGGCCAAAAAAAAAAGTGATGGGGGCATGGTATTAGGGCACAGGAACCAGATGGAAGAGGCTCCCACAGGCAAAACCTGGGACAGCAACATAATACAGTAATCAATTGTAAATCACTGGTAAAATAGAAATTTTTGCCTATACTGATATTAAATAAACTATCTCCTCACAGACTGCTTAAGTTGCAACAGAGGAAAAATAAAATTATTCAGTGGCTAACTCACATATAAGACATCATAATTAATCAATGAAGGGCCGGTGGACAACATGTAACACCAGATGTGACACCCCGAGAAGGACACAGTATCACCTATGCATCATTCTGGTACAGAATGCATAGCCTCAACCTAATCATAAAGCAACGTGAGGCAAACTTAAAATGAGAAGCATTTTATTTTTTAAAAAGCGGGAGGGGACATTTTTAATAATGTCAGTGTCATGAAGTGAAGAGGTTTGATGTATGGTATGAAACTTACTCTCCAATAATTCTGAAAAAGTACGTGTATGTTGTGTGTGGTGTGTGATAAAGAGAGAAGGGGAAAAGAGAGTGCATGAGCACAAATGACAAAAGCAATGTAAAAATGTTAACAACAGGTAAATCTGGGTAAAGCACATACTGGTATTCTTTGTACTATGTTCAGTTCTGCAACTTTCTGTAAATTTGAAATTATTTCCAAATAATAAATTAAAAATAAAAGAAATACGTAATCTATTTGATTGCACTAATAGAATGAACGACTATTACCTTCTTCGGTTTACCGGACATAAAGCACTGGTTTCGTGGAAGGTGTTACGATCAAGAATCGAAAATGGCCAAAGAACTTTAAGGAAATGGTAATAACTATGCACTTACAAGTCCAGCAAGTATAAATTCACAGCACTATAAGACTCTGAGAATGGACAGGAAGGAGCGTGGACCCACCAGTCTCCTAATGACCTGCTCCATCTGACAAAGATAAACGAGGCAGTACTCACAGGCCTTCTTCTTTAATGATCTCCAGAAGCACCATGTGTGTGGTTTTGGACTTTCTTTTCTCATCAACTAAAAGACGAAAGAGTATCTATTATTCGTGAACCAATAAGCATTTTAATTCAATATCCAATTTCCAAAGTAAAAGATGTGAGAGAAGAAATTTGTTTCTTATAGTCATAAGCTTTTTTTTTTTTCAAAGTTATACATACTCATTTTTATCTTAACATCTTTAAAGCTGAGAAATAAATGACCATCTCCCTTTTAGAGAAGAGGCTGTAGACACAAAAGCTATGAAGGACACATGGAGTTGGCAGTAGAGCCAGGAATAAAACTCAGGTTTCCAAATTTTAGCATTGTGATCTGTTTCCTAATCTAAAAACTAAAAGGTCACCACAGGATGAAAACTCTGCTTTTCTTGGCATCCTCACTGAAAACAAAACCCACCTCAATTAACTTCAAATATCATACCTATATTTGAAGAATATTTTGAAAAGCATAAAAACATGGAAATGAACCAATTTTTCAACAGTTAAAATTGGTAACTTGTATGACTCATCAGGATGGCAAATACAGAGGATGGCAAAAAAAAAAAAAACAGAGAAGGAAACCTGGCAATAACTATCGAAATTACAAGCACACTGACCCTTTGATCCTTCTATCCCATAGAACTTATAAAAACAAAGTGGCATATAAACAAGTCTATTCCACAGAAGAAACAATCCAAGAATCTACGATAGGGGAATCTACGATTATGGTGCATCTGCACCGTGGAACACTCTACAGCTAAAAAAAAAGGATGAAAAAGCTCCCAATGCATTGACTTTGAAGGCATCCAAAATATGCTGTTAACTGAAAAATACAAGGTATAGAATGGTGTAAAAAGTATGCTTTTTGTGTAAGTGAGAGAGAAAAGAATATATGGTCTTATTTGCTTGTCACTCCATAGAGAAACTCTGCAAAGCTATTTGAGAGTCTAACAAGATAGTATCTGCAGGGGAGAGAAAAGGAGGAAAGGGGCAGACTAGAGTGAGATTTTTCACAGTATTGTTTATCTTTTTACATATTTTGGTTTTTGAGTCATAAGAAATTATTACCTATCCAAAGACCTCTAAAATTAAAAATGGTAATCATGAAGGGTTTTAACACAGAAATTAGTTTATTCAAAGCTCATCTTACTCTAATCTCCTCATGTAAGTTCTGGCATAGGTTTATAATTTCAAGTCGAAAAATACTGAGGAAAACAAGTAGGAGTTACAGAGTTGCCTAGTCCTATAAAGCAAAAGAGGCAAAAGCTAGGACTACAGGCCTAGTTGGCAGCGACAGTGGGTATTTGGCTCTACTTGTTCCCTATTCTCTCTTCTCTTTTGAGAAAATCTACCCCCAGAAAAAACTCTGCACACTATGTCTTTAAAAAGTCATTTTATTTTTTGAAAAGAATTGCAGTGATTCAGAATTATTAATGCAAGCCCATCAGGTCACCTCGGATTAGAAAATGGCTCAGACTATGACTCATCCATGAATGCTGCTCTGTTAATTAGGAAACAACAATGCTGACAAGTATTTAAAATCACTGAAAAGGAACAAGAGATCTCCAACAAAATAATATCCTTATATTAATTTAGTACCAGAGAAATATGTTTGCTTCATGCACCAAATGAACAGGAATATTATCACTATAAAAGATATTCACCTTGAAGTCGAAGTCGAGCTGTATCCAAGGGAAAAAACACTGTCATTGCTGTCACGCTTCCCTGAAAAGTTGAAAAAGCCTTTAACCATGACAGTATCACAAGATAATGAGCCACAACTTTTAAATGAACAAAAGTTCACTATTAACAATAGGTCAAATCAGATTTTCAGTGAACAAATACATACAATAATATAACCTGTTGGGATTATTACTGTTCAAACTTCTATAGTTATATACTTAAACAAAAGTATTAAATTTTCCAGGAGAAATATTTGTCCGATATTGAAAAAAAAATGTAGTAGCTCCTTGGAGGTGACAATCTTAAGCGTAAGCAACCTAGGACACACATCAAAGATAGGACGTAAATGAATTTTTAACCTTCCAAAAGTCAGTTGCTGCTCCTATGCTCTGAAACCAAAATATCCTGTAATCAGATACATACTTCTATTCTCCATACTTAATAGATTCACCACAAAGTAAAAGTGCAAAAATCATATTGTTCCTTATAATAGTTTTGTTTGCTGTGTTTTAAATAAAGTAGGGACAATTTCTGTACTAAAAATTCTATAAATAATTCATCCAAGGTAATGCAATGACAAAAATTATCCGGGAAAAAAAGAAGCCAACAGCTGCTCTTTCCATTTATAAGACGCTATGACAGATGAAAACCACAAGCATATAGTTAGAGATGAAATTATACGCATGAAATCTCTAGTTGGGTTTATGGTTCTCAACCCAGACGCAGGCCCACTGGAAGTGTATATTCTCAGGCATAAGATTAAGTTTTAGGCTACTGATCTAACAATAGTTACATACAATATTTTAATCACGATAATAACTGGAAACTGGACCAACTTTATAGATAAGAATAAAAAATTTGCTAGGTCTCTTACCTATGTAAACAGGTCAGCCTGCTTGACAGGGAGAACACCGAATATTGTCCTGTTAGTATTGAATGTTACCACCCACTACCCATCAGGTTACCATGGGTGGTTCATTCCTCCATGTTCCCAGAGCACTTGTCTATGTCTCTTACAGCACTTACCGACAGTGAAATCGAACTCTCCCACCAGACAGTAAAAATTCATTCTCTTAGTATATAACAGATTCTTAATGAATGTTTGTTAAGTTCACTCTACTTTCAGTTATTTATGCTTTTTGATGATTCCAACATCAATGTTCTTTTCTAGTAAGGAATAGGTAATATTTACTGTCTCAAGAAACACTGGATCCGTAAAGGTTTACTGTCTATGAATCTATGCTTTTGGCAATTTCCAAGAAAAATGGAGGCTGGAAAGCTGGAAATGCTGATTAAGGTTATTGACGCTGTGGCATTTATTTCCTATTGCATGGTTCTATGTGTCTATGTCGGGTATTGCGTAGACAGGGACTCTCCAGACAGAAAAATTCTGCCTGGAAACTACTCTTTCAAACGACTGGCCCATCTGCATTCCCTCTTCCCTGCCAGCTTTAAACAGACATCTGAAGGTTCCTAACTCAGAAGCCCCTGCCTACCTACCTTGAATTCTTAAAGTGTGCAACTGGTACCAAGACAAACGGAACAGTCGGCCCCAAAACGTCAATGGTCCATTACTTCCCCAAGGATTAGCATAAAAAATTCAAACCAAGAAAACTAAATAAGACTTTTAAAAACTTATTAGTACTGGAAAGACTGAATCAAGAAGATAAACTGAGAACCCACCATTGCCTCCTCTCCATTCCCATCACAAATGATAGAAAAGATTTACATAAAAAGTGTTATGTAGAAAAACGAAGAGAGGTCTGATTGGTGAACCAGACATTAAAAAGACAGCAGAGTGAGGCTATTTTGAAACAAGAAATCACAGACCACAACACACAGAAGATAGATGTGACAGGCAGAAAAATGGCCCCCTGAAAGATGTCCATGTCCTAATCTCTGGTACCTGTGATCATGTTACATTACTTGGCAGGTTACTTAAAATAAAGAGATTATTAAGTCAACTGTAATTGAAAATTTTTAAAAAAAGAGATAATTCTAGATTATCTGAGTGTGACTATAGGCACCTACAAATAAATTTAATATCCACCAGAAGATGTATTCCAAAGGATAAAGGTAAATTTGAAACATAGCTATTCTGTACATTGGGTACTTGCCATTTTTATCTCCTTGCCAAGCAAACACACAGATGACTATTTTCATAAGCTGCTGTTACCTGAAAATATTTATTACATACACAAGTCGTACACCAAACTATAAGCATGATTTTTCAAAATTTGAATTAAATTCCTTTTCATAAATACTGTTTTTTTTTTCTCTAGGACTGCCTGTTCACTTATATAAAGTTAAAAGGCACGAAATACCTAGAAGATAATCACAATGTACAACACTGTTGTGCTAAAGAGGTATAAAAATAAATCCATTGTTTTGAGTCCCACAGAATTCTAACCATCTGAGTGGGAGTTCCATTGCTAACAATAATTACAATTTAAAAGTATCCATTTCCAGAAAACCCTTCTTGTACCACACCAAAAACAAACCTTTTTAGTCACAACACTCTACCATCTCCATCTGGTATTTAGCCACTTAATGCTGGGAAAACACACTAATTCCTACATCAGATCTCTTGACTCCTGGTTCTACTGTTCACTGTTCTCCCATAGTTCTCAACCTTTTTTCAATCAAGACATAAACGACTTTTAACTTTCACTCTTCTCCCACTTATAAAAGTATACACAATAAAAACACACAAATCTGAGAAAATCAAACAAGAAATTCTTAACAGTGATGGTATGGGGAGAGGGAAAGAATTAAAGGTGGCTTCCTTTTCCCTCATTATGAATCTCTCTGTAACTTTTTTTAAAACAATAAACATGTGTTAGTTTTAGCTTTAAAGGGGGGGGGCGGGAAATCAAGCATTTTTTTTTAGAAGACATCAGAATACAAAAAAATAACATAGCCTAGGGAATTCTCAAAATCTGGTCTGGAGATTCTTGAAAGTTCCCAAACCCTTTTTAGGGATCTGCAAGATCAAAACTATCTTCATAAGAAAACTACTGAGTTATCTGCCTTTTTTTCTTTCTCATTTTCTCACAGTATGCAGTAAAGTTTTCCAGAGGTCACATGATGTGAGATATTATAAGACAATGCAGAAACATATAAAAGGATCTAGCTATCTTCTATTAAACAATGAAGAGCTTTGCAAAAGAAATATAAAACAATGCTATTCTTATTAGTACTTTTTGGAAAATAACAGTTTAAAAAATGTTACACGTTAACACCTAATAGGTTTAATATTTTTCATAAATATCTTAATGATTTCTCAGTTCTAATTTTTCTTTTTTTTTTTAAGGTGAGGCAACCCTTGGTTGACCTCACAGATTGCAAAGACCTTGTCAGCTTACAATCTCTTATTTATTTATTTATTTTAAAAATTTTTTTACGCCTACAGCACCTGGTCTTTCTAGGTGGTCTCCCAACCAAGTGCTAACCAGGCCCGACCCTGCTTAGCTTCCGATATCAGAAGGGATCGGGCTTGTTCAGGGTGGCATGGCCGTAGACACAGTTCTAATTTCTAATACAATAAATATTAATAGTAATAACCACATAAGCAAAAGTTCTTCAGGGTCTGCAATGATTTTTTAGAGGATAAAGAGGTTCTGATAGCAAAAAGTCTGAGAACTATTATAAACATGCCATTAAATATGAAAAACAGTAAATTAACAAACTTTATTTAACATATCATTTCTAATATTCCTTTTAGCTGATGTTATCATATCGGTGTGACATAAGCAGTTGAAAGCACCATACTATCTTTAGGTTGGCCACTGTCCTCTCCAGGAAAGTCTTTAAAAGCTAAGTAACACTATAAAGAATAAATATAGCCCATAATTAACACCGTAGAGATTTGAGACTTTTTAATGACAGGAATACTACATCCTGTTAGATAAGGAACATCTAACAGGATGCTGAAAGGGGAAGCAAGCGCAAGTCTGGAAATGAGCTGAACATTCTGGAAATTCAGAAGCTAGTATCTTAGAATATAGGAAGCAAAATCAAGAGTGGAATGAAAAACTTTAAGGGTTAAGTCAAAGGCTTTTGTTAAGTATATTAAGGACCATTCTAGTGACCCACTGGACAGATGTGGGGAGAGGAAGAGGAACTTCAAGGACCACTCCTTGGTTTCTGGCTTTAAGAACCAGGGTGACAAGTGTTGTCATTAAGAAGGTAAACATTGCAGGAAGAACAGTCTGGGAGCAAGAGATAATGAACTGGGGTTTGAATTAGCCAAATTTTAAGGGTCTCAAAGACTTCTATTTGAAGATGTCCAGGAGGTAACCAATTATCAGTCTGGAGTTCCAGAGATTCTAGGATATGCAGATTTGGAAGTCATTAGAACATCGCTGTATTTCCTCACCTTTAAGACAACAATGATAGTATCGTTATTTAACAAATTTTATTTGTTAGGGATAGGTGAAATCATTATTTTGCCAACAATATGTAAATGTATATAGTTTTATATTCATAATAGAATTTTCATTCTCAATAAATAATTATGAAAACAAAATACATGCCAGAACATTATCTATATTTTCTATTTCTTCTCATCTTTATTACCTTTATTTTTTCATTTCTTTGGGTTTATTTTGATATTATTTAACTTCTTTTCCAAACTCAATTTAAAAGTTATTATTCATTTTCCTCTAAGTATTTTAGCTCTATCTGATGTTTTTCTTCTCATTACAACTCAGTGGTTTTTAAGATATTCACAAAGTTGTATAGCTATTACCACTATATAACTCCCAAACATTTTATCAATCCAGAATAAAAACGATGCCCATTCGCAGTCACTCTCCATTCCCTCCTCCTCCGACACCTGGGCAACCACTACTCTATTTTCTGTCTCTTGCCTATTCTGGACGTTTCATGTAAAGGGAATCAAATACATGATCTTTTGTGAATGGTTTCTTTCAAGGCTCATCCAGAACGTCATTTTGTATTATGATTGGAAAATATTCTATTCTATGGCTTCACCACATTTTGTTTATCCATTCATCAGTTGATGGACTTGGGTTGTTTCT